AGTTAGAAAGTAAAAAATTTATAGATACACATTATTAAAAAATATTTATTTTATAAAGACCTTTTTTAGCATATTTCTTTCGTTGTTGTTTGTTTGTGTGCCTATACGGGTGCATAAGTACTTAAAAAAAAGTATACCTTTTTGTCTGTGCGATTTTCTTCTTTTATATTGAATTTTTATTCAGCACTAAATTTAATAAGATTTTGGTTGGCATTAAGCCGATTATCCCTTTTTCTTGAGTTGTTACGTTTCTTATAAACTTTTCGCAAGTATTACAACAATTATTACTTAGTAAACATTAAAAATTTATGTGATATGAGAAGAACATCGTTGTCATAAACGAAATGTTTTATACTTTCATTTTTACCTTTTGAGTTTTATGGTTATGAGGAGTATTTTTTGTTGACGTGGTTTTATTACATGTGTTTTTATTGGGTCACATGAATACACTGAATAAATGAATGGCGAAGGAATGATGTCCGTATACATATTATGCAAAAACATGAAATATCTTAACATTATGGTGGAAACTTTTACATAACCCCTTACCAAAGACCTCGATCCCTTATCATACACTGTTTCGCTAATCAGTTACAGAGAGGAAACAAATACAGAATTCCTCAGTAGTCCCTGTGTCCACCTTAGATTGTAACATTTTTACATAAGCCCTTGCTAAAGACCTCGATTCCTTATTATACACTGTTTCGCTAATCAGTTACAGAGAGGAAACAAATACAGAATTCCTCGGTAGTCCCTGTGTCCACCTTAGATTGTGACATTTTTACATAAGCCCTTGCTAAAGACCTCGATTCCTCATCATACACTGTTTCACTGATCAGTTATAGAGAGGAAACAAATACAGAATTTCCAGTAGTCACGGTTAATTGTCTCCCACTTGGATTGCTACACTTTTACATAACCTCTTTCTAAAGACATCGATCCCTTGTACAACAATGTTTCGCTGATCAGTTACAAAGAGGAAACAAACATAGAATTCCTCGGTAGTCCCTGCCAATTTGTGTCCACCTTAGATTCTGACACTTTTACATAATCCCTTGTTAAAGACCTCTATCCCTTGTCCTACACTGTTTCGCTGATCAGTTACAGAGAGGAAATAAATACAGAATTCCTCGGTAGTCCTGGCACAATTGTGCACACCTTAGATTGCGACGCAAAGCAGTCGTTTAGACCCATACTGAAAGTAAAAACACAGTCGCCGGCAGAGCGATTCTCGAAAACTGTAGTCTGAAAGACATCTTGCCTTAATATCTACATTAAATATTTTACTCTAAGTTTCAAACAAGAAGAGATGACGGGTCTACCAACATCTACCTTTAATGCCAATTACCACCAACCAATATTTGAGAAATTGTGCGTTCTGTTGGGTTTTGTGGTAGCCAAGCCTCACAACCTCTTCATGACAAGTTTCTGCTGCTGGTATCCATAGCATCAAATAGAAACTGTGGTCTATCGTTGAAAAATCTACTTATAAATCTAACAACTTAATTTCTTCAAGTGTTCTATGTATCCCCGTCCACTGCTACTACCTTAAATGGTTACACAACAAAATAATAACTCAGCAATATTTAGAAATAAGATTTATTCATATGAGTAGTTGTTGGTTGACTCAACACTGATGATGAAATGATTATGAATTTTTTTTTTTTTTTTTTTCATTTGTATCTATTTATTTTTTCGTTCATTTCATTTATTTGTTTTAATATGTTATTCTTTCTTTTGTTTTTGTTTTAATCCATATCGAAACTTTTTGGCGATTGAATGAAAATGATTTGTTGAATAAGCAGAAAAAAATAGATTTGATTCATTTTTGCATTAAAGTTTTCTATGTTTAAAATAAGTTTGTGATGTACAAACTTTATTCTGAATAGTAACTGGAAATTTCATCGAAAAAGGTTTCACTCACAGTTATGTTTCAAATTAAATTAAATTTGTAATCGAATGTATTCACATTCAAGACTAACGTTCCGTTTGAAGTAGGTGTTCTTGTGAGGATTTCATCAACCCTGAAAAATAGGTAATTTGACATTCGCCAATGGTACCTAATCTAGCAGCAGTTCATGTCATTAATTCGAATCACACTGCACTGGTAACTACTTAAATAAGACACACAATCCAATAGTTGTAGTTTTACTCAAAGCTTCGGTTATGAGAAGAGCAGAAGTTTACATAACCTTTCCAAAAGGCCTTGTATAATGCTTGGTACCAGCCAACTACCCCACACAACTCTATTAGCATAATAACAGTCTAAAATATCCACTTTCCATTACAGTGGTTTTGCCCCTATGCTCATCTATGATCATTCTACATACAACGAAATTCGATATGTAATATACATAATATTAGAACTGCCTTAATAGTCAGAGAATCAACTATGGGAGCACACATAAGGAGGTCCTGAAATGCGTTATACGTTATAAGGCAATAGCAGAACAAAGAATTTTACTTCAGTCTCGCATTTATCTATAATCAATTGTATTAGATAAGAGCAGATACTTTCTCTGACGGATATGATCTAAGGCATCCAACACCAAGTTAATGTGATCGAATTATATTCCCTTAAACGGTGCAAATGGTCATTAATGTCCGTCTACGATTACAGTACTCTGAATTTACGAAGTCTGAAGTTTAATAATACAACTCTGATTTCTCCAAAACCACAAAGCTTTTAAATGTCCAATAATTATTATTTTTCCTTCAAAATCAAGTCCTTTTAATAATATTTGTCATTTAGTAAATTGACATTTACAAAATAATAATGTTATAAAAACACTTCAAGTCATTAAATAATCCTTAATACAATGATGTCTGAATAACATTTTTATTAAGTATCCTTTTCAGTTCTTAATATACAATGACTGGTCCACTTCAAATAATAAATTACAAGTAACTACATTTTAGTATATATGAGTACAATGTTGATGTTTGCTGTAACCAATCAATATCAAATATTTACTTTCTTTCTCAATTCATTTTACATAATTTAATAACTACATTTTTGAAATTACTTAATACCATAATGACCATTCACCATCCGTAAATCGTTTTAATATTTATATAACATAATCTGTAAATAATCATCCTTGAATACTTAGTAAAATGTTTTTCAATACCAGGAGAACGATTTACCAAAGCTTTTTATATAATAAATCTATAATACTGGTATAAACTAATAAAAGATGTTTTTTATATAAAGTTAATCTTTTAATTATACATACAAAATTTTAGATTTCATTTATAATATATCGATTTAGTGGAAATAATGAATTTTGGTTTATTTTGTAAAGTGTTTAACTTTTAATTAAGAGGATTTTCGGCATTTTAACTTTATTAATAGTTGGTTATAATTCCAGTTTGGCTTTTGACTTATGTATGTTACGTAATTTAATTTCGTGTTAAAGTCCTCGCTCCCTTATCGTACACTGTTTCGCTGATTAGTTACAGGAAGGAAATAATACAGAATTATCCGGTAGTTCCGGCCAAATTCTGTACATCCCTGCTAAAGACTTTAATCCATTATCACACACTATTTCACTGATCAGTTGAAGAGAGGAAACAAATACAGAATTCCCCGGCAGTCCCGGCCCAATTGTGTCCACCTTAGATTGTGACACCTTTACATAACCCCCTGCTAAAGACATCGATCCCTTATCATACACTGTTTTGCTAATCAGTTACCTACAGACCCCATTATGATACTCTTATGAAACACAAAAGTATGAATTTAGATTGAAAGTTTGAGAGAAAATTGACAATAATTGAATATCTATCCAAATTAAAAAGTGAACATCTTTTCTCGTTACAAAACCTAGAAGTTTGCTTATATCATGCCTAGCTACATCATCTAGTTCATCGTGGAATATTTCTTACACAGACTCTGCATAAAACCTACTCTGCAGTTTCGAGCTCCAATTGCACAGATACCGGTTGTCACACCCATTTCAATCATTATAATCTTCCTCTCCAATCCTAACAGTACTCAAGTTAGTTTGCAAACTTGTACATAAGGTCGTAGATAATGTGCATCCATTTTACAGTGCCATGATGGGCTGAATAATATAATACGCCAAGACAAAATCCCGACATCCCAATCTTTCAGAACTCGGATGTTATGTCCACAGCCCACGAATTTTGATTAATCAAATTTGTAACTAAATGTCCATGAGAAACATGAGATGTGATTTAAGAGAAAGGAATATACGCAAAAAATCAAGTCGAATTCATGCAGACATTCTGAAGTCTCATCATCTTACAGGTCGTGAAGGTCTATTGTAAATGGATGCAATGGAATAATGACAAACTCTTAAAGAGGAGAGCTAACTGTATTCCGTACTTCTACTTCTTCTAATAACATATATATAAACGCCATCTTTAAGTCTCAAGATTGAATTATTTTTTAACTAGTTTCCAAATAACCTAAAGCAAAGGCTGGAGCCACACAAACCCCCTAATATTTATCTAAATTTTAAAAATTTTGAACATTAAACAAATTGTTTAAAACTTTTAAACTTATGTTCAAGTATAAGGACTTTAAAAAACAAATACATACATATATACAAAACAAACTATTTGAGAAAAAAATGCAAACATATTTTCTAACAAATTGTTTGCAAATATTATTTCACCTAAAACTTAATCCCAAAACAACAATATGTAATTGTGTAAGTAAGTACTTAAATAAAAATTGTTCTGCATTCAATTTAAAGCATTTATTTGTTCAAGCGTATTAGAGTAGTAGCAGTAAAATGAAAACAATTAAAACTTTTCTCTGCATGTTTAATTGTTTTATTGTTGAAATTTTTAGTAAACTTTTTTTGAAAAAAAAAAAACACTGTCTTTCTAATAACTAAAGAACACATGTATTAAGTACAAAGAAAAACTATTTTTTTGAAAATTCGTTATATAATTTACGTTAAATGCAAATTCCTTTAATTAAGTTCCCAAAAAATGACATAAGACTTTAATGAAATTTCTAACTATAGGTGCTAGCCGTGTGGGTTTACCCAGTAATCCCAGCAGTCGCAAGAGCTCAATTTATGATTTGTCACAACAACAGCCTATAGTGGTTCATCAGTTGCCGGTGGGTATAGGCAACACAGCGACCAGTCCACCTTCCGATGAAGAAGACAAACGTTTCTCACCGAAATGGAAGGGCAGTGGTGGTAATTTACCACCTCCCACACCTAAACAGGCACTCTCAATGTTAAAACAAGCCTCTTCGGCTACCAATGTATCACAGGGCATTAACGAACGACAATACTATTTGGGAACACAGGATAGTCCAAAACATTTACGCAAGGGCAGCATGTATAATCTAAAAGCCAACGAGAATGTACAACGCAAAGGCAGTATTTATGCCATGGCGGCCACAGATTCAACTATGGGTGCACGTCAACGCAAGAGTAGCATGTTTATTAGCAGCGCTAGTGAAGCATATGATAGTCCTGAGATGTTACGTAAGAATAGTGTTAAGCCTACGACAGACAACCCGTCCATGATGCGTAAACAGAGCATGTATCCATCGTCTGTGAACACCAGTACCAAAAATCTTACTTCACTTTCGGACTCTACCAGTAATATCTCATCATCGGTTTCATCGACGATCAGTGGTATAGCGACTAGTTATGGTCTACAATTGGGACCGGGACAAATTCATCCCAAGGGTTATCGTTTGATAACCGAACGTCATGGTGAACTTAAAATGGGCTTTAATAAGGTCAAGGGAACGGTGGAAGTTGAGGTAAGATTAGAAATTCCCATATGAATTTTATCGCAAGGAGTTTTAGCCAGTTTTACTTTACAATTTTAGTTTTAAAATATAAAGCTGATAAATAATATTTAAATTTTTTACTTATAGATCATATGTGCTCGCAAAATAGTGCCCATTGATTGTGAAACGCCACCAGATACTTATGTTAAATGCTATATAAAAGATGGTGATCGTTTGCGTCATAAGAAGAAAACTCGCGTGGTGCGGCATTCTGCTGAACCATTCTATAAGCAAACGATCAAATATCAGGTAATTTAGAAAAGATCTGTGATCACCCATATTTTTAACAGGAAAAAACAAAGTATCAAAAGATCACTTTAGTTTGCTGCATTTTAATTTTTCGTGGAAACTTGGAGCTTGTTCTCATCCGATATCATTTTCATTTCCTAAATCTTAATTATTCTTGTAAACTTTCTTTCAAGAAATTGAGCTCAATACAATTTTCTTTATCCACTCTAGAGCGCCGATGTCTTTGGACGCAATATCGTTATAATGGTCTGGCAACGCTGTGTTGGTTTCGAACATAATCAGGGTTTAGGTGGTACTGAAGTTAATTTGGATAAAATCAATATGGGACAACATATTGGTGGTTGGTATCCATTATTTCCAATGCATTCATTTGGTGGTTCTGATTCGGATAATTCTCCTTGACCGATTACGCCCAAAAAACCAAAACAGACCAATAATAATAATAATAAAACAACAAATGCAACAGCATCATCATCATCAACAACAACAACTAATATAACAAATACAATAAAATCAGCTGCTGTGGCTGCAGTATCGACAGCAACTAAGAAAACACCAATAGTTATTAAAGAAAATATTAAAGGGAAAAATACAATTTACTGTACCAAAGGTATCAATGATTTAATGAATTTTTTCAAAACAATATTTAAATGTAAACATTTTAATAGTTTTAATGAACATTTATCTACATTTGGCACATTTGAGGAGTGTGTTTAAAAACATAAAACATATATATATATATATATATATATATATATATATATATATATATATAAAACTATAGTATAAGAAAACTTAAAATTTGAAAAGGTGTTTTTATAAAAATAACAAGAACAAAAAGGGAAGGAAAGCGCTTAGCAACATAATAAATAATATTTTTAATTTGTTCCTTTTATGAGACAAAGTCTCTTGTTTTTATATTTTTTAGATTAAATTTCTTTGTTTATAAAACCCAGTACGTTTTTTTCGGCAATTATTTACTTGTTAAACATTAACATATTGTTTTTCTTACTTTTTGCAAAAATTTGCCTAATAAAATATTAAGAAATCAATCAATCATTCTAACAATATTTCTAAACAAATCTATTTACTTTTAGTCTCTTCAGCATGATATTCGACATGTTAGAAAATACAAATTGTTGTTGGGCAGAAGTGCTACATTACATCATATTGTAGTTAGAGCAACGCCTATAAAATTTGTGTTTGCTGTAGTTTAGGGAGGTTTATTAAATGGCAAAATACTTTTCCTTTAAGCTTTTGTGAGCTAACTTTTGGCAAAGGGCAAAGGCCTTTCTTCAGACACTTGTGGATGAATGTTAACAAATTTCTTATTTGTTTCAGAAAATTTATTTTACTTGGTATAAAATTGATTGCTTAGCATTAAATTGCCTAATTGATTATATGCTCAAATAATGATTTAATTAAAAAAAGTAGATATTTTAAATTAAATACCAACAAATATTTTAGACCATATTTTAAATTTTAATGTTATTAGATCTGATATTGAATAACACTCTTGAAACTATCATGTTACGTCATGAATTTACAAATAGATCAGAAGCTTTAATATAATAGACTGACTTCTGTTTCCTGATTAGTATAAGTTGCATCAATGATCATTAAAAGGAGCCTCTACCGAAAAGGCTACGTATGAATCAAGTCAATTTCGGATACCCTATTCTGGAGTGAAACGTATACCAGAGGTAGCGTTCTGCAAAAATTGAAAGAAATAGTAGTCAGGTGGTGCAGGGTCTGAACTTTAAGGAAATTCTGGATATTTCTCGGTAAATGCTCCCTTCAAACATTCTGGTAGGATAGCTTACACATGCGATTTCTTATCGTATAGTATCTCCAGGTTATATGTAGTAATGGACAAATTTTTCATTGCAAGTAGCCAGAGAGTGTAATGTTGCAACTACTTCTTTCAAAAATGCTACTACTTCTTTCAAAGAGACTGCAACATGTGTCTGAGCCAGGCGCGGATGCATGGGGGAAAGGGAAATGCTCTCTTCAAATCACTTGAATTCAGTATATTTCAGCAGCGCATAATTGATAGAACCCTTTTGGTTCCACCAAATACAAAGCATTATCTTAGCGCCATGAATATTCGGTTTTAATATCAATGTGTCTAGTTGACTGGTTTTCACGAACGATATCTTGTGCTCTGGTTTATCGTTATATATCCATCTTTCATCGTCAGTAATCAGACGGGGCAAGGTTTGAACCATAAGCCGGGTAAGAACGAAATTTCCCAGCCACTTCTTTCTAAATAGCTCTCAATAGGGACTGAGATATACGACCGAGCAATGTCATGATGGAATGTTATGCTTTCATGTCTGACAACATATTGTGAGCGGTTTACGTCAATTTGCCTGGTTTCACATACGATCCTTTATGCTTATCGCAATGTAACCATTTTTCGTCGCATCTCATATAGAGTTGAATTTCTTTCGATTTCATTTGCTATAGTTCCGAATTTCGCTGCTTTTAGATGAATCTTGCTGCTCGCAAACATTTTAAAATTGATCCTTAAGTATATCCCAATGATTTTACAAGATCTGGCTTGACAACGATCTTCATGGAGTATTGTCTATAATGCTGAGTCTTCAATCGGTTTTAGCTGACGTGGACAATCTTTGCATTCGGTTTCAAAATCACAAATTTTTATCTGCAAAAAAATCGCACACACTTTGAAACCGATGAAACAAATTCACCGTAAGCTGCGGTAGGCTGGCTATTAGGTTTACACACGATGCATCAATGTTTAGAAGACATCGATGTGTCGTTCATAAATTCCAATGTTTTGATATTCATCGGAGTCAAAACTAAAAACCTCGACATCGTTCTTTCAATCTGTCTATATGTGTTTTGTATTTTTTGAATCGACAAAACACCTTTAAAATATCTATTATAGTCTTCCACTTTTTGATAGTATGATTCGATAGTGTTGAGCGATCAATCCAGAAAGTCAAAACGTAACGTGTCACGAAAAAAAATGGTTCTACACCTTCTATGCAATTGTGAAGCTCTACAAGAGCACAGGCTGAGATATATTGGTATCTCCTTTATGATTAGCACTCTCTCAAAGCAATCTGCACTTTCTTCCTTCTTCAATATTGTTATAAAAATGATTGATTTCATCTGTCTTTTTAAAACATTTTAAATGTTTTAATTCAAATGCCAAAAATATGCCATAATAAGCAATTTCAAAAGAATAAAAATCTCCAACACTTTGTTTACAATTTAAATCCATTAAAACATATTTTTAATTCCTCTTTACCAATACACACAAAAACAAAGAATTATAAGAAAATATGTGATTTTTTTTAAAATAAAACACAACTGTTAAGAAGAAGAAGATGATAAAGAAAAGGAAAACCAAATTTATAAAAGGATTAAAATTGTTAGAAATAAAATTCTTCGCTTTAGAAGACTATAATAAAATTTATGCTTGAATGGCTTGTTACAAAAAAGAGAAAATTTATTGACCAGTTAAGAAAGAACAAAAAAAAAAAAAAACAACCGAAAAAATACAAAACCAAAACCATAAAATAATACATACAGCAAATAATTTAAAATAATATAAATAAATGTTACTAAGATAAATACATATACATAATTAAATTAAATTCTTATACTTAAAAAAACATAATTCAAAATACAAATAAACAAAGCATAAAAAACATATATATGTATGAAATAATTAATACTACTATTTATTTATGTAAATGTAGTGTTAAAAAAAGGGTTATAAAACTAAAGAAAAACAAATATTTAAATTAAAAAAATATATATTTATGTTGCAAAATTTATTATTGAAAAAAAAACAAAAGGTACATTTGAGACAAAAACTAAATAAAAATATAAAAACTTATATATTTTTAAAATAATTATGTATACATATTATTAAGAAATTTTAAAGTAAAACTTCAAAATAAAAAATTATTAAACTTCGTGCTACCTTAACTTAACATAAAATATATTTTTAAACAATCTAAAATTTAAACTAAATAATATAAACAAATTCGAAATTTATCAAATGAAATCTATTACAATTACTATTGACAATCTTTGACGTTAAAAACAGTTAAACGAAATTATAAAGAAAACAATTTAAATAAAAGAAAAAAGTTTAATTAAAAGCTCTTAACAAACCAAAAACATATGTTCAGTTAGCAATTGTATATTAATTTTGTTAAAAAAAAACGAAAATATTATATTTAGGTTTTAATTATATAGAATTTTGTTAAAGTTTGAACTGCGTTTATATGATTATAAGATCAAGTATACAAAAAAATGATTTTTCATGTTTTTTTTTTGTAAAGGGAGCGAAAGTATTAAATTATAAACTAAATTGTAGCGTTGTTTATCACATATCGGAATATATTTTGCTGCTCTAGCATTTCCTACTAATATTATGGTCCTTTGAGCTTAATTCTGCCCCTATATCCTAAAAATATTGGATGTGTAACTTAAAAATGTGAAATGTTTTTGGCTAGGAATTGTTAGCTAAGACTTTTCCCATCTTTCTGGCAACACTCTGAACACTTGAGAAAAATGAATCAAGCCAATTTAGGCTTGATACATAGTAGTCGGACGGGGAAAGAAAGGAATGAGGCAAAACTTCGCGACCATAAGGTGGGTGAGAGCGTAATTTATCAGCCATATTTGGCAACATATTCGGACCGTTTTTCGGTCAATGCTTCCTTCAACTGAATCAGTTGCATTTGTTACAGGTTTCCCTGTGATAATCTCGCCAGATTTCTGCTACTTATAATAAATTGGACGGGATAAAGTCTAGACTATGAAGCGGATGAGTCAAACCTACCCAACTTCTAGTTTCTAAACATATTTTAATAAGTATTTCAACATGTGGAAGATAGTTATCAAGATGGTATATTACGCTTTCATGTCTAGCGGTATATTCTGAGGATTTTTGGCCAATGATTACTTTAAACGAGTCAGTTGTATTCCGCATATGTTACTTGTGATGGATAGCTCAGATTACGGCCTCTCATAGTAGATACCTAAATGCCATGGTTATTTGACTTTGGTGTCAATTCGATCTTCACATACGAACTCCTACTCTTCAAGATCCATTTTCATCCAATTTTTGGAGAGATTTCGGTGTGGTTATTTAACTTTGGTGTCGTTTCGAGCTTCACATACGATCTCTTATTCCTAGGAATACATTTTACATCTGATTTCTGGTGAGAATTCGGTGTGCGCCATTTTTTCAACAAAAAAACTCTACCGAATATGATTTTTAACAACGAATTCGAAAATTTTTGAAACAAAACAAATCTTTATTGTTTACTTTCAAAATAAACGCCTTCTGTTGTAAATCCCACATTTTTAAGTAATACATCCAATAGCTCCCTTAAAAATACTTTAATATATTTTCAAAAGATTTTAGATAATCAAAAAAAAAAAAAAAAATCACTAAAGAAACTAAAATCTTTTTTCTTAACATTTGCTTAAACTAAGACGATATTATTAATAATATTTTATACTATCCTTTTTATACGTAAATCCTTCTTACTTCCTTTTAAATACCCTAAATAAAAACAAACAAAAATTATATAGGGTACAAATACATATATAAAAAAACAAAAAATGGCTGTTAGTGTTTCTTCTAAGTAAATAATATAAAAAAAATAATAATAAACATTGGTAGTTAGATAGTTTTTTTTTCTACTTTTTAACTCTACATAAATAAAGTGCGTATAAAAGGTAGTTTC